GCCATATTGGGGATAAAAAGTGCCAAAATGTGCCGAATAGAAAAATAAAGATGCCAAAAAGGTGCCACAAAGAACGTAAATGTACATAAAATACATTTACGTTCTTTGGTATTGTTACGATTATCCTCGAAACCTTGAGGGATTTCCCAAATATACTCGGGCTCGTATCGCTGGATTGTTAAATAAAGGCTAACGATGACCGAATTGTAGTACAATTAACTTTATTGTACAACAAACAATTTACAATACTTGCTAATACAGTAAAAACACTTTACAATACTTGTTAAAGCAATAACAACGCTTTACTACTTGTTAACACAATTAAACTTATAGCTTGCTTATTCGCAACTCGATTCTCCGCTAACTTTACTTGTAGCTTGCTGACTTGTAACTAACTCCACTCCGCTGTGTCGTGGCTCTTATATACCTGCGCTCACACTTATGGCAACTCTAGAACGTTCTGAAGTTTATCGCTCATTCTCTTTTTCTCGCTGTTCGCAGTGTTCATCCAACTTGACGTTTCTCTTTGTGGAACATTCTACGTCATTCTTCGAACATTCTGCCTATTTCTCGTTGTTCGCTTTGTGTTGCCGCAGTATTCGCCACACTGCCCTCCACCTAAGTCTGATCGTCCCGATCAGACACACTTGCCGCTCCAACCGCTGCAAGTCTTTCCAAGTGGACCATTTTCATCTTGGTCCTCGGTCTTCCCATTGTCTGGATTCGATGCACTGCGTCCTTCAGCCGTTTGTCAATCCTATACGGAACTTTCCAGTTACGATGTACCTCATAGCTATAGATAGCTGGCAGCCCTGTTTGATAGCCAAATGCACTCAATGCAGTTTTTTACTTTGTTTTGCTCGGGTCGTCCTGCACGGAAAATTTCATACCAAGCGCTGCATTGGGTTTTTACGTAAATCCATTTTATAAAAATTACGTGGATTATGTCGCGGCACGCATTAATCGGTTTGTAGATATGTACATACATACATATGTATATAGAATAATAATTAGTTGAAGTTTTTGTAACTAAAGATATCAGTATCCTTTAGGTGGTGGTACGGGATTCATTGGCAATGGACTGAGCAAATGTTTGACTAAAAATGGCTACGATGTCACCGTGATATCCCGCATGCCTGGGTTAAAGCGTATCACCTGGCTGGAACTGGAGCGAAGCGGCATACCCAATAATGTCACCGCTGTAGTAAATTTAGCAGGGCAAAATGTATTAGATCCTAGTCGTCGGTGGACAGATGGCTTCAAACAAAATGTATGGACTTCGCGTATTAATACAAGTGTAGCATTAGCAAAAGCTATAGGAGCAGCACCTCAAGTTAAAGCTTTTGTGAATGTATCGGGCGTAAGCCACTATAAGCCAGATGATAAGCACGTATATAATGAGAATGATTCGGTACAAGGATTTGACTATATGTCAAAATTGTGCTTGGAATGGGAGAAAGCTGCAACCCTGCCTCCGGATGTAACACATTGTAGAAATGTAAGTAAAACTAAAAGTAGAACATCTCATGAGATGAGATGGTGATGAGAGCAAAATATTTGATTGAGAATGATTTTGGCAGATCAAAATACGTACTGGAGTAGTTATCGGTCGTACAGGCGGTATGATAGAGAACATATGGCTTCCTTTTCAGTTGGGGCTTGGTGGTCCAATAGGAAGTGGCAAACAAATTTTACCATGGATACATCTTGACGATTTATGCCAGTTGGTAGTCCATGCGATTGAAAATGATAAAATCGAAGGAATATTGAATGGAGTCGCGCCGGAAATAGTAACAAATGGTGAATTTTCAAAAGTGAGTATATTTAAGTCCTTTGAAAAATGTACTGCATGTGTCTATAATCTTAATCTACCCCTGCAAAAATCGCGACTACTCCATGCATACGTGTAAAGAGTACTCCCTAAGGACCAAGGAATACTCCAAAATTAACCACAATTCATATAAAAAATATGGTCCAATTAACATTGCGATGTCCTAGGGCCGGACCATATTCTCCATCCCTGCATTACATCAGAGTAGCACAAAACTACTCCAACATATTAACAATGGCATTGTTGTTATATTTTTTCGTTTGTACACGCTTTTGTTCTTCACTTCTCATATGCTTTTTCGAAATTAATAAAACCCAAGGCAAAAATTAAAAATTACATGTTGCCTCTGACGGCATTTGAACCCGAACATGCTGGGAGCTCACAACTAACAGCGAGCATCTCTACACGTTCAGCTACAGCCAGACATGCAAATGTGCTTTCAAATGCTCAACTTCAATCACATTTCGTTAAAACACGAGCAGTTATCGGGTAACAAACAATAAGCTGGCGCAGAGACACGAGTTGGTCCTCTACAGCATGACAGAGGAACACTTTTGTAAGTACTCCAATATACCACAAATGGACTACATGGTCCAACGATTTTTGCAGGGTACTGACTAAATGGATTATATTTGCTCATCCAATTCAAAATGCTATGCAATATAAATTAAGTTTAAATCTGTGATAAATAACTGCGTCAGTTCTTTAATTTTAGATTATTAGAGCTTTTATAAAAAATATGGCAAATTTGAATGTATTTTTTTAAGTTTTAAGGTTATTAATTCATTTTATATTAAAATGGAGAAATAATCGGCAGCAAAGAAATGTACATACATACATACATACGTGATGCAGTAAGAATGTGGCAAAGTACATATTTACATACATGCTCACCTTCTCTTTTCCGACATCATAAAATTATCCATAAAACTTATCGCACGTTTAATAATATACAGAATTATTTCAAAATATCAAATTTTGGGAAAAAAAGCAATCAAAGTTTGATCAATTCATATAGTTGTTATACCAAAATATACAGGTGTATTCTTGTTTTCGTACGAATCGAAAATTTGAAATTTTTGTATAGAAAATGATAGGAGAGACATATTTCTTCGCCATTTTTGGGAAGTTAGGCTGAACATGTTCTTTTTATCAAGCTTATTAATCGTATGATGAAATCTCCAAAAACGTAAATTTTTAGTTACATAATAATAATAATAGATTGGCACTTATACATATGTTAGTGTTTGGCCGAGCTTAGTTACATGTACATGTACGCATAATTAATTTGATATTATAATTTTGTGTGATTTTACATTCTAGGCTTTTGCTTCAGCTTTGCGACGTCCCTGTCTTTTCGCTGTACCGGAACTCGTTATCGAAACTATTTTTGGCAAGGACCGTTCTGCTTTGCTCCTGTCTGGTGCTAAGATACAACCGAAAAGGACATTAGAAACCGGTTTTAAATTTAAATATCCCACTGCGAAAGAGGCTTGTTTAGAAGTAGTTAAGAAGTCCTAAGAAATCTTTAGCGAATACATAATATAAGCATATTTTAAAATCTGTTAAACAAAAAGCGCAACTAAATACACTTACAGTTCTCAGTCTGGACCGTGCTTAGTTGTTTTGTACAAAATATTTCATACTTCAAGTATGGCAACGTTTGCTTCATTCTGACCACGGTTGCCACTATTGGTTGTTTCCAACCAAACTTGGCTTTTTTTTTAATATTTTCGAATTTGGTTCTTTGGTAGTTTTTTCTCTGATTTGGTTTTTTTATTTTATTTATTTTTATCGAAACTTCGTTCCTTGAAAACCAAACATATATATATGTATGTAGTACAAACCCTGCAAACCAAAGTTCCCGAAATCTTGACGAAATCTTTAGGAGTATCTCATTTCTGTAACGATTTGGTACCGAACCTTCAAACAAAGAACGCAAATCTATAATCTATCTCTAAATCTATATATCTATCTCATCCAATCACAAAACGTATTTGGGCAAAAGAGAAAGCACGCTCTTAATGTTCCCACTTGTTACAATTATAACGTGTTGTCTCTTATAGATTTACGTTCTTTGCTTCAAAGAAAACTATATGCAGTGGTTGGCACGAACTCGTAAAGAAATTTGTGTACGAAAAATAAAGAAAAGAATCTGCAAGAAATTGTTCACATTTCCATTGCTTTACCGATTTTCTTCCAAAATTTCATAAAAGAATCGAAGTGTTCACAGTTTATAATATTTTAGAAAATTCGGCAAAAATTCGAATGAGATTTTACGAATTCTTTACAATTTCTCTACAATTCAGAGTACTCAGAAAAAAATGGTTTGCAGGGAATATATGTAAAGACATATGTAAGTAAACTTTAAAAACTTTCTCGTAATATTCTGAATTTGTGAGAAGTTTAAATACCGTGAATTTCAAATTCCTATTTATATTATATATTTATAAAATACATATAAAATGTAAAGAATGTAATTGAACGCTAGATAAAAAATGAATTTGCATTTCAGTAATTTTTGTTTTTCCTTTCGTAATAAGTTTTGCTGTTCGTAACAAATATGTACGTAAAGAGTAAAGTTGGTAATTTTTTTTTAGTTTGGTGGGTTTTTACTCAGATTTTTATTGGTTTTTTTTCGAGTGGCAACCGTGATTCTGACACGTCAGTTTCGATTGTCAATTTAAGCAGAATTTTCCAACAAGAAGCAGACATTTTTGGGCGAAAAGCAAACAAAAAAATCGAGCATTTCAACATTTGTATTTTAAAACCAAAGATATAGCTTTTAACGCTGATATCCTCATCACCATTGAAGTAAGTTTTCTATCTTCATTTGTAAATATCAAATTCTGTGGTAATTGTATAAACTCTGCCAAAATATTTAGGTGCAGCCAGTACATCTAACACATTGCGTGGCAAAACACTTCTTCAGAGTGCCAGCGCCATATCTTAATACCTTAAACAATTTTAAAAGCCTGCGGATAATAGTCGTATTGTATTTTATAGTAAAATGCAATCATCAGTACGATTTAGTTTAATATCTGCATTATTGCCGCTACTGTTTTCGATTACCTTCTGCCCTGCCACCGCTGTAGAATTTACATTCGATTTAGCAGACAATTCGGAGGATTGCTTCTTTGAAGAAGTGCGGCGTAATACATCATGCTATCTAGAGTTCCAAGTATCTGCTGGTGGTCAACTGGACGTGGATGTAACGTTGACAAATCCTCATGGCAAAGTCATATACGAACAACAGCGTGCCACATTTGACAGTCATCAATTTACGGCGGAAGCGACGGGTGTTTATAAAGTTTGCTTTAGTAACCAATTTTCTTCATTTTCCCACAAAATTGTCTATGTCGACTTCCAAGTTGGCGATGAGCCTGCACTACCTGGTATCGACGAACATGCCACCGTACTGACGCAAATGGAGACTTCTTCCCAGTCAATTCACAAAAGCCTCAATGACATACTGGATGCACAAACGCACCACCGTTTGCGTGAGGCGCAAGGTCGCAAAAGAGCCGAAGAACTAAATGAGGCCGTATTTTTGTGGTCAGCTCTGGAGACATTCATAGTGCTTGTTATCGGCTTCGGACAGATTTTAATTCTGCGAAACTTCTTCTCAAATCGTAAAACTAGTGATGCTCGGTATAATCAACTTCGGTAAAAAATTCAATAAGGTAAAAAGTAGAAAAATCGAAAACGACCAATTGGAAATAAAACGAGAATTGAACGATATGAATCTACCATGTGAAGATGCGGCCATGGATATAAAATGCGCCAAGAGGTTGAATTTATGTTTTCGCATACGCTTATAAGTTTGATATACATACATACATAGATCTTGTTTTCAAAATATAATCAAAGACACCTTTAATTTACGTTTAACACATTAAGATTCGGTTATTTGCAATACATACAATTGTAATAAATAGTTTCTACAAATTACTCCTAGTCTTTTAGCACTACCTGCATGCATCCCTAAGTAAGTGTTCATTTTTTTCGCAATTTTTAGAATAACTACACAATTTATCTTATCTACGGAACAGACAAAAAATATACAAGGTTCCCTCCGAGCTTTTATTGATGAGTCTATGAAGCGTTTGTACCATCAATTACTAGAATGCATCTAAAGAAACTACAAACTGGTAGATAAGAAATTCATGTAAGTAGCTGTGCCGAAAAAAATTTATTGTAAGAAATAGGTAACTTGATTTTGCTGACCGGGACAATAGATCTTTGAGATATTCCTGCTGATAAATAATATAAAAAAGAATGCATTCCTAAAATTAGTAAACACCTATGATCTGAGCAGGAGAAAATAAATTTAAATAAAATCTAATTAAATTAGAACAGATTAGTTAATTATGATATTTTAATGAAATGAAACCAATTAGATAATTTTCTAATAAGAAAAAAAGCAACCATGCGACAACGACCTGACCGACGTGATACGAAATTGAGTGATGGCAATACTGCTCATTCGCAGCACAGCTGATTCGGCTGTCAAACGAATGAAATTTGATTGCCTTGAACGAAATAACACGTGCATTTTTGACCGCTGCATCTCGCGAATCTATTTTTTGCAACACGCAGCATTTCCGTTTAGCTGCAGTAGCAAGTTTTTTGAGATTCTGTTAACTTTTCAATTGAAAATGTGAACAAAGCCACAGTAAATACACTTCAATTCCGTGCTAAATATTTGAATACAGAAGTAAGTGCATAGTTCAGCTACCACCGGCTGGTGAATGCATGTTGGTTTATTCGATTTTTCTTGCAATTAGACTAGTGCAATATCTTAAAATTTAGCAAGTGCGGTCCACATCATTATTTTATTTCAAAGTGCAAGTGAAAGTCACCAAGTGTTTACAAATCTGATTGTAAAGTTATAACGAGATATTTTTGTCATGTAGTATAAAGTAAATTATTTCAATGGCANGAAAGTCGCCAAGTGTTTACAAATCTGATTGTAAAGTTATAACGAGATATTTTTGTCATGTAGCATAAAGTAAATTATTTCAATGGCGCCCCGTGTCCCCACCCCTTTGTAGCGCAACAAACTCCAACAAAAGCAGAGTAATATTTATCCCATCTGGTGTTAAAGTGTGATTTGTGAATAAAAATATTAAAAGTAAAGTGAGGGTTAAGGAAATAATTGTTGAAAAAATTTGTGAAAGTGTAATCCGTTCGAAATTTGTTTAGAAGAAAATGTTGGAAAATCGGGTGTTGCGCTACACTTTTTATAGCCTGACTGCAGGCATATCGACAGTGTTGTTGTCAGAAATTGTATATCGTGGCTATTTGTACGTGCGCGAACGATTGTGGCGTTGCGATGCATCTGACGACGAAGTGGCCGAAGTCATCTGGACGAATGAGCTGACACAAGGTTGTGCAGGTGGACACATACTGAAATCTCCATCTGAGCGCAAGAGCCCTACGCAAGAGAGCCCTACAAGTGGCATGGTCGAGAATGGGCATATTGCCAAACTACCAACTCCAACTGCAAGTGCTAGTCCTTCGTGTAAAAATCGCTTTTGTGCTGCTAACAATGTCGGCCGACTAATTTCGTTAATTGATAAATCTAAATATACAATTGATCTGGCCATGTATACGTTTACATCCTACGATCTGTCGCAGGCATTTCTGCGAGCTATTCGCAGAGGAGTGTCTGTGCGCATCATAAGTGACAACGAAATGGTGTACTCCAGTGGCTCACAGATTATAGCATTGACGAAGGCAGGTAAATAAATGCTGAATATGATTGCAATATTTCTTACAGAAACTTATAAAACCTAAAGATTACTTTGTCGCTCATCAGCTGATGATGTCATGCGCTACTGCAACCGTTGTTGCATTGAGAACTCCGATTTGACCTTGAAAACGATAAGTACCTATGTTGTTATCAAGTTTAACCCAAAAAATGAGGTTTGACAATCAATAATACGAATCAATTGATTTCTATAACAATTCCAAGAAACTTAATTATTACCAAGCCCATAGAATAATATCTATACATATGTACATGCCTGTATGCCTGCATGTTCATGTACATGCAAATCGACGTGGTATAAAGGTATCTATATATATCCATCGAAGCAAACTAAAAAAGGGACCATAATTACCTTGAAAATAATCAAGCCTTAACTACAAAGCTGCCAAGACAAGCGCCGACAACAATAAAAAAGTGTGGCCGTGTTGGAGTTGTGTCGCGGCTACGGTCCCATTCTCAAAATTTTCTTGCTAACGATTGAACCACGTGCACTCATAGCGTTCACATCTTCCCACCTAGCAAGCTCTTCTCTTTGGAATGGCAGTATTTATCTTATAAAAGCATCTAAGAATATAATTTCTGCATTTATTGTTTACACGAATTGCAATTAGTATTAATGGCTATATATGCGCTTTTTGGTGCAATGCTCTGCCAATTCACATGTTGCCATGTGCAAAGCTTTGTGGTACCAGCCCCCGCCAGAGAACGTATAGAAATTTTTATATTTCTATTTCTATACGTTCTCTGCCCCCGCTGCAACACTTACATACATACATGCACACATAGTTAAACGTATGTGATTTCATTCGTGCTCTTTAGGGCTAGAATAAACATGTAATTGCAAGGTAGACATTTTTAAAATTAACAAACACTACAACAAAACAATTATAAATAAATCCCCTTTTTTTGGTACATTTAAGGGTAAAATAAAAATTAAATCTGGCAGCCTTAATGCAACGCACTGCTTTGCCAGCACTTGCTATGTGTATAAAATTGTAGTATATTTTTCGGCTGTGCATAGAAACGATGCGATGCGAATCAGAGAACTTGGATAGATAGAGAAGGTGCAAACTGAAAGTGGAAACTATTCGCGGCCGAA